ACTTGTTCCGAATGGTCAGGGCGGTGCCCGACCAGCAGGGCCCACGACTGGCCCCGAATTTTTTACGTGACACCGCCCTAACCCGCGAGACGTCTCGGGCCCTGGGGAAAGGGGACCCTCCCCAGGGCTTACCGTCATCTCACGTCGTCCGACCTCCTCCTTCTGTCACGAGGAGGAGGTGGCGGACGACAGGCCCAAACGCCGGGAGAGAGAGGCCTAACACCCCCTCCGCCGGCGACAGGTCGTGCAGCGTCGCCCGTTGGTCCTCCTCCTCCTCGTCCACCTCGTCCCCTTCCCCTGGGACCTCTCCTGGGGTTGACACCCCTGGGGTTTCTATCCCTGGGAGCTCTTTCAAGCTCCCTTTCCGTGGCCTCCTTCTGCAGCATCACCTGCTCGCAGAAGGAGGCCATTGCCGTCCACTCCTCCTCCCCCCCGACCATCGCCCGCACAATGGCCGGGAGGGAGAGATCTTCTCCCAGCGACGCGACCAGAGCTCGGCGCTCTTCTGCCCACGCTGGACAGTCCTCCAGCGTGTGCTGCGCCGAGTCTATGGCCGCGTCGCACGCGCGGCAATGCGCCGTCGGTCTCTTCCCTATCCGGTACAGGTAGTCCTCGAAGCATCCGTGCCCCGAGAGTACCTGTGCCAAACGGTAAGTGATCCTGCCGTGCCGTCTGTTCAGCCATCTCACCAGACATGGCCAAACAGCCCCGACAACGCGCCCGTCAGCAACGGGGTGCTGGCTTAACCGTTCGCTCCACCTTTGAAGCGCGCGCTGCCGGGATTGACGCTCAGCGAGAGCCACTGTCTCGTCCAGACGAGGGCCTTCTAGCCTCCCACGCAGCCCGATGCGGAGATCGTAGACCTCCGCGTACATCCGCGCAAGGAGGTCTAGGGGGATCACCCCCGCCATCAACCCTGCCGCCTCATACGAGGTGGTTCGGTATGCACGAGCCACGCGCAGCAAGATAACCCGCTGCGCGGCGCGGAGCTGGTGGAAGTTTCCGCGCCCCGTGACTCGCGCAACCTTTGCCCAGATCGGTGACCCGTAAAGGGCCACCGAATGAACCACCCCTACGTAGAGGCGGCGGACCCTCTCGTCTGGACCCCCCAGGTTGAGCAGCAAATGGCCTAGCGCGGCCGCTACCCGTTTTACCCTGAAGGCGAGGCGCCCGAAATGGGCCTCGAAGCGCCAACGGCCGTCGAGGAGGAGCCCCAAGTGAGCGTACTCCCCACCTCGACTCTGGCATCACCTACCCGAAGGCTGGTCCTTGGTGGCTGCCCCCGAGGGCCATGAAGCCACATGGCCTCGGTTTTCTGGGCAGCCACCGTTAGGCCCAGCTTTTCTATGCGACCGACGACGCACTCCGCGCCCACCTCGGCGTGGATTCGCGCGTCCCTCCAGGTGTCCCCGGAGGCTAAGATCAGCGTGTTATCTGCGTAACACGCCACGCTGATCCCTCCGGGGAGGGCGGCCCGGATCACCGCGTCGTACCCCAGGTCCCACAGGAGCGGCCCCTGTGGTGCGGGGGCCGACCCCTGCGGGACCCCGCGGTGCATCTCTTTCCGACGCGGTTCTCCGTACCGGCTCAAGTACTCTACCCACCTGTCTCGGAAGTAGTCCCCGATCAACCTCTCTAGATAGGGAGGCACCCGGTGATAATCGAGTGCCCGCCCTATAGCGTCCCAGGGAAGGGAGTTGAACGCGTTCTTGATGTCAAGCGACACCGCGATCAACTTCCCTCCCCGAGAGGTTACTCCCTCCGAGAGGGACTCCACGTACCGGATTGCATCCACTGTGGAGCGTCCCTCTCGGAAGCCAAACTGACACTCCGCCAGATCGGGGCCTACCCCCGACAGGTGGCTCGTGAGGCGGGCCGCGACCACTCGCTCGAACAGTTTGCCCACCTCATCGAGGAGACAGATCGGCCGGTAGGCGGACGGTGAGTCCGCCGGTCGCCCGTCCTTCC